AGATGACTTTCTGTGTCAAGTTATGGAATGCAGAAGGGTAAAACAACTTTTGAAAAGACTGCACTCTTTAAAACCCGATGCCTAATGCCAACTCCTGCTTGAAACAGTCGGGCAACCATATTTAGAATCACTTTTAGGTAGACCGCTTAAAGGTGGATTTCATTGCACCCACCCGTTCACATGTCGTCTGAAGTATTGAAGACTTGTTTGGGCATTGCACTAACCGGGCCAAAAATCCATACGAGAAAATGATTCAAGAGCCAATAAAGCTACAACTGAAGAAAGAATTCACAAGCCAAGTCTTACACCGAAGAGATTTAGAAGCAAATCAAGCCAAATCAAAAAAGGCAATGTCAAAAAAAAACAAGCAACTTGAAGAAGCGAAAGGAAAATTTCAAGAAAAGCAAGTCAAAGAACTCAAGTTGAAGATCAAAGACACGAGCAACACAAGACCTCAGGTAGATGCAATGATTGGCACCTTTGGGAGTAAACCTGAGATGGATAGTGAGCATTGAGATGGAATGCAAGGTTGGTGCAACCTTGAGTACCCCGAGGGAGTTTTAGAAGCGGTCCCTATTCAAAAATATGATACCCTTCCAAATAAAGTATCGATACTGGGGTTATTTACATTTTCAAAAACACTGAATCAATGACTTTCACATGAAATCTCATGACCCTCTCACTTTGAACTTCGGGCCCATGATTGTCCTTTAAAGGACAAAGTCCAAAGTTAGACTCTGTTGAGACTTTCTTGAAGTAAGAACAATAAATGGACAATATTTTGAGTTTGGATAATTGGTAATTGACTATCATACCCCCCAATGATCGAAGTGGTAAGAGTTATGAAACTTGAAAAAAAAAATTGTTGTTATTTTGAATTTTTTTAGCTTGTTTTCTTAGTTTCTTTTGTACATATGTTATTTTCTTTGTTTATATCACATGCATTCGTCTTAGCTCTTTTAGGATTTTTTCCGTCCCCTTTTTGTTCTGTGTTTCTTTTTGCCATCTAGAAATCGTCATGTTTTGTCCGATTCTTATTCTTTCGTGAGGGCAAGAAAGGTATAAATCTTGGGGAGATTTGTTAGATGCATTTTGTGAACCTATTTTCACATCTTTTTGTCCATTTTATGCATTCATTTAGTGTAGTTTACTTCATTTTATATGCATTTCATTACAAGTCATGTTAGCTTCTAGAACAACTTTGTTTTCACGTTTTTATGATCTTTTTAGGTGATCCGAAGGTGGAAACGCGCTTTGGGAGGTGCCGGGAAGCACGAGTGAAGATGGCGGGATGATTGGGTGCTAGTAGTACTAGGCCTGCCAATGTTGATACACAATTGAAGGTCGATAAGGTGTGTGAAGACTGGGCTACTTATGTCACAACATTTATTTACTAGTGATATATGTATTTGACAATTACTTTTTGATGAATTTGGAACATAATTTATATTTGACACTATGGTTTGTGTAATGGATTGTATTTTTCTATATATATGATATTTTATTTTGTTTTATGAGACATTAAATGTGCATTTTCGTTATATATATATATATATATATATATATATATATATATATATATATATATATATATATATATATATATATATATATATATATATATATATATATATCGTAAAATTATGTCAAAACTCATGACGTACAAAATATGTCGTAAAATGTATGTCGAACATTACAAACATGTTAGAAATTACGACATACAAAGTCAATCATAAATCTATGTCGGAAATGCATGTCGTGTATGACTGTCATAATTGTAGGTCATGAAAGTCCGTTGTAAATTTTATGATAGACCAAATGCCTGTTATTTTCATTTATGACATGACTTTCCTTGATAGACATTTGTCTGTCATGTACAGGTATTTATGACGACATTTGTCTGTCAATGAAAACATTTCTCTAATAGTGCGATATTACATTTTTCTAGGATATAATGAATAAAATTACATGAATCTGTAAAATGGATTTCTGTTATTTTTCCAAAGTAGATGGATGTTACAAAACACATGCCATCTATAATACATGTTTGAATTATCAGAAAAGAAAAATGATTATGTTATACTACCGATAATATGTAAGAGTTTGATTCTCGTACACAAAACTATTTACATCCTTGATTTTTAACAAAGACAACTCACCCCCCATGAAATAAGGAAGTTTCTTCAAGAAAAAGCACAAGTAGAGAATCCACTAATGTAGTCCTTTGATCTTATGTTGTCCAAGTTAAACGAGATTCTTCAGTTTTAATATATTAACAAGTATTTTTATCATTTTGAGATTATTTAGTAAATAGAAACTCATCTATGTTTATATATTTTCCAATCAATAATTTGTGAGGACCATCAGTTGTCAAATCATAACGTAGAGTCTCCAATATTCTTTCCATTTGATTCTAAACATAAAACTTTGAACAAGGACGGTTGCAATACGGATGTAGACTTATAGTGATTTACCAATCAAGAAACTAGAAAGTATTATTCACATTTATAACTTTAAGAGAAAAGACATTTCTTTTTGGATAAAGATAGTTGTAAAATATTTTAGCAAGAAAATGGTGAACTTTATTTGTTTAAAGCATGTATAAATAACAAAAGCAATAACAACAATAAAAAAACCCAAGTCTCATAAGAATGTGGTAAGGGTTGAGGGAATATGGTGGGTAGCCAAAGCTGTTTCTAAAAAAAACCTTGAAAAACATAAAAAGAAAAAGAAAAAGACAAAACACGTACTTGCACATATAATGAGATTTTTTTTTTTTTTTAAATTGGCCCTTTGGTTGCACATATAATGAGATCGCATGCATATTAAACGCTATCCCACCATTAAGCTTATAAGAAAATAAATGAACAACTAACTACATACTAACAAATACCCCATATAGTAAGACGTGAAGCAAAGGCTCACTCATAGAGATACATGTTGAGTATGAATCCACAGAAATGTTGAGTGTGAATCCACAGAAAAGCTGGTCAAAAATGGCAGGAATAATGTGAAGTTGTGAAGCCACAATTGTTGAATGAAGACCCAGTTGTGTTTTTTGACTACTTCTGATTTCCATCTCTATATAAGATATTATTCTGTATTTGTAAAACTTGTATCTAGTGTAACACAGAAAGAGTGCAGATTAGCACCAAGAAATGTAAATTCCTAGTTACCGGTGGACGTAGGTCAGAGAAGGACCGAACCACGTTAAATCCCTCATGTTCATCCTTGTGTTCTTGTTTTTCGTGAGCTGTGTGTGTGTTTAGAGTCGTGTGTTAAGTGTCTCGATCCTAAGTCTCGATCCTAACAATACAAACATAAAAAACGGTCATCCTGGAAGGGATAGATGTACAAATAATGTAAGAAAATATTAACAATAATGAATGGAGAAAAAACACTAGCCAAAAGTTGGAGTACATACTTGCATTAATCACAAGTAGACAGTAAAGAAGGAATAAAGGATAGACTCATATCCAACATAAAGAAAGAACATCCTGAAAGGTCTACAAGTACAAACAAAGTTTAAACTCAAATAACTACTCCTATACTAGTTTACTACCATGATCTTATACCTCTATGCCCTATTATCAAAGGTTTTGTCCTCGTTAAGATCTAACTCCTTAAATTCTAACAACAATATATATATATATATATATATATATATATATAGATATATATATAGATATATATATATATATATATATATATATATATATATATCCACTTTCCTTGCGAGCATCCTTTCCTCTTGTTACCATTCATAATAATCATCCCCATCCTTATAAACATAACATTCGGTTGTCTCCTACATACATGTATAAACCACCACAATCTTCCTTCCTTTAATTTCTCGTTGATTGTTTCCACTCCTAGCAAGTTATTGATTTATGATTTTGGAACTTGGCCAGTTCAATAGGGTTCTACCACAAATCCACCACAACATTTGCATTACCATGACTTCTATTTTCCTCTCGTGCTCCTTCTTAGTTAGCCAACATTCAGGTGCATACAACATAGTTGTTCTAACAACTACCATACACAATTTTCTTTTAAGTTTCAACTGGAACCTTTTATCACAAAAAATTCCAATGGCTTCTCTCTACTTGATCAATCCTGCATTTATATGGAAAGTGACATCATCTTTAATACCCCCATCTTCATCAATTATAAAACCCATGTACTTTTCCTTTGGTTATAGGACTTGCTTAATGATACACACTTCCACTCCTATATCATTCCCTCACTAAAATAGCACCATGGATAATTGGTCTTAGTTGTGTTTATCATTCCCTCACTGTCATATGACTTTTCCATGTCGATAAACATCATTTGGAGGTACGTATTTCTTTCTCTAAACTTCTCCATAAGACCTCTAAGTAGGTGGATCGCCTTTGTCATTGATCTCCCATGTATGAAGCCGGATTAGTTTTCAGTTACTAATGTATCATGTCATATTCCGATCTCCAAAACTCTCTCTCAAAGCTTCATTGTAAGACTAAGTAGTTTAATATCTCTAGTTTCCACAATTTAGGGCATCTCCTTTCTTCTTACGAATTTGTATCATGTATAGTATTAGATCTCCATTCCTTATGGATCTTGCCTGACTAAAAAGTAGAAAATTTTACTAAAAACAAGTGAAACCTCACTTCTGTGTATATTAGTGTATATGTTATTAGATTGCATTTGCTTTTTGGAATCGTTGATTGAATATATGCTTTTATTAATTACACTGTATCTTGACACATAAGTCATCTGTACCCTATGCAATTTCTAGTCAACATACGTACCACTTCATATATATTAATTAATATGTGCTGTATACCCGGTACATCAATAAATAAAAACTAAACATATTTCATATAAAATTATAACCTGACAACATTCTTTCTCTTCATGGGTAGGCCCCATAAAACATTCATGTCTCATGTAAATTGCAAATTCAATTCTTCTGCTGAAATTTGCATCTTTGTACCTTTATTATAAAGGGAATATTATGTCTTTATATTAACTTTTTTTGGAATCTGGAATGGAGTACTATGTGCTTTTCATAAGTAAATTAATAATTGCAAAGATGGAAAACAGCCAAAATTCTGCAATAACATATTCATGCTAATAACAAGAGTAGAACTTGAAGATTTTATTTTTCATCCATGCTTCTTTAGAGATATCTTCCTCCATAACCTGCATTTCTAAATAATATTTGCTCAATTTCTTCAGAACTTGTCATCTCCCGATTATTCTGTGCATATATGTCATGTTTTATATTATAACGAAAGCACACACAAATATGAAAAAAAAAAAATAATGAGAATATGTACCTCAAAACAAGAAGCTTGAACCGAAAAATCACTGAAAGAACTCATGACACATTGTTGAATGTCTAACCCTAATGTTTCAAGCGTGTTCACCGTTGACAACACCAATCCCGGCTTTGTTGAACAACAGATCTCAATACGGGTATCCACGTTTCTCCTCTCTACTTCAAACTACATATTTTTTTCAAGAAATTAATGTGTGTTCATTAATTATGCATTATGTATGTTATATATGGATAAAAATAGCACCTTTGTTGGATACTTAGCTTGTGATAATTGTGAGACTCCCATCAAGTTCAAGCTATTCGAATCAGGATTCAAGTTATGAATCTTTTCGAGTAGATCTTTCATATACTCTATCGTATCCCCAAGTATTGATGTCCTATCCATCTGTTCTTTTTTTCTCAAGAACATTAGTAAAAACTTATCTATCATAATTACGAAAAAAATAATATTCCAGATCATGGATGTGGCTTGTTACCTTGCTAATTTTAGGAATAATTGATCTGAGCATTGAAAGACGATCATTTAACCGTTTTCTTCTTCGTCTTTCTGCCATTAAATTCTTGGAAGGTTGCCCTTCAACCTTCTTAGATTTGCTCTTCTTTTCCTCACCAAAAACATACTGGATTTGATGCTTATCAATGTCATCATGAACCATTTTATCAGAATCCACTAGTGTTGGGCACGTTTCTTGGACTGAAACCATTGATGTTGGTATATCATTGTATTCGAATCCGTATATTTGTGTGAAGTTGTCAAGATTTGGTAGCGTGGGAAATATAGTTTCTTCTAAGCATGGAAAAGTGGGTTGTAGAGAGGATGAGATGAGATGCATGAATGAAGAAGAAGAAGAAGAGGACGCTAATAATGAATCATCTTCTTCATTAGGAAATGTGGTCCAAGTGTGGTTGATCGGAGTCAAGAGATCTTGAAGAAGACCTTGTGGTTGACGACTAGGGTGCTGCATCTGGAAAATTAAGAGTATGGAAAGGGAAATGAATAAAGATCAGATGGAATTTGAGATGTGTAATTATAAGGGAAATGATGATGTTTTTTAGGCTGAATTGTTTGACCCACGGATGTGTCTGCATTGAAAACGATGGACTTGGCTTCATGGACGTTGTCAGTCTGGTCGACTGGTCATAACCCCATGACTCATCAATCTTATAGATATTCAAATAGTAAGAGATCATAAATTATTGGTGTTGTCAATTCTTGTATGCATGGGTTATATATGTCGTTTTTGTTTAACAGAAATTTTGTTGGGAGATAAATATTAAATGGTCGGATATCATGGTTACCCAAAAAAAACATATAGATGTTTGTAGATTTTGATAAGGATGGGTTATGAGGAATAATAGGTAAATATTTAAATTGTTTATCTTAAATTATTTAGAATTGATAAGTGATTTATTATTTGATTTATTGGTATGGGAAAATATAAATTTTGAATTATCGGATTGAAGTGAATAAAGCTAGTAATTTACGTTATCAATGAATAAATAAGTTTTTATTTTTGCTTTAAAAATTTTAGTTTGATTAATCTGTTTAATTTTATGTTTAGAGATGAATTGGATTAGTAGTTTTTAACAAATCCCTTTTTTCTTTAAAAGACGACAAATTATCGTAATGAAGAAGAAGGAGAAGAAGAAGAAAAAGAATTTCTAAGTTTAAGAGGTATAAACTATAAAACTTAATGTACAGATTACATATGCAAAAACAACATATCATTAGTTGTATCACAGAAAATCAATGAATGACCAGTTATCGTATTTATCAATAAAAATCAATGAATTATCTGTTACAGTGTATTAAGGAATGAATATATGATTTCCTCACATATCTCCAAATTTTAAAATTCATATTTTAATAAGTTGATTATACCCACAATCTCCTCCATAAAATACCATTCATCTCTATTTTAACTCTTCCGCTGCAGCTATCAGGCCTATATAGAACGTGCATTATCCTATTAATTATTCCTTGAATTTATTTTGATTGTATTGTTTGTTTTGAAATTTGATGCTGACATTATATTTTGGATAGCTATTGATTTAAAGTTTCGAGGTAGAAGGCAAAAAAACAATTAAACGATGGGTTACATATGGGGTTGCAAGTAAATGGCTATCTCATAACAATGCATCGCAAGTCATTTGTTTTTTGCAGACAGAGGTTAATTTTGTTTGAAGTCAAAAGATACATCATGTTGTCAATTTCATATACCATTGAATTGCAACAATATAATGTTTTTTATTTTATTTTATTTTTATATTAATGTTTACTTGCGTTTTATATACCGACATAGTTATTAGTTCTTTTTATAAGGGGGACCATTTTTATTATTTTGAAGTAAAATATGGATCGATTGTTACAAAACAATTAGGATTAGTGTGAGAAATTATTAATCAATTATTTTAAATAAATTATTAATTAAAAGATATTTTTTTAGTTGTATAAAATTACAATCGTTGATTTAAATAAATACGTGACCTTATAATTTGTATTAATTTTATTTTAATTTTTATTCTAATCCTATTAATTTAATTAATTTAATGTAATTAGAGTGTAAAATTTAAATTTAAAATTTAAAATGGAGAATCAGTACGTTGACAATTGACATGATATTAATTAGTAGACATAATATGATAACACATGATAAAATGAGACTAAATCTATTTTTTTATTAGAATTTGAAGATTGACTATAAATTGCTTTTTTTCTGAATTTATTTGTTATTCCAATATTTTTATATAATTTTTATGATAACCGTTAAAATGTCAAAGTGATGATTTTATTTATATATTATATGATTTTAAGATGTTTTATTTATTATGTTATTCGGTATATTTTTGTTAATATATAAGAATAGAATGACATTTTATATCGTTTTTCTATGATACACGTATAGCTTGTAACTTTATTTCTACTTTATAATCTTATAGCAAAACTTATTGAATTTCTATGTATTAATTAAATAAAAAAACTAGGCGAAAAGTAATTATCACCTCAAGAAACATACTTTAAAATATAGATATGTCATTTTTTGAAGGGAAAAAAAACTATATAGAACATTATGTAAATAAAAATTGATTAAGTTATAATGTTTTTATACTCAAACTATATAGAACATTATGTAAATAAAAAATAATTAAAGAGAGTTTTGAAAAAGACAATCAACGAAAAGGTAACGACATTATTTTACAACTGTTTATAATATATATTTATCAAATAAAAAATACTTCAAACTGCTGCAAGAAGTGTAATTTTGGCAATAAAAATAAATTCATTTACAAGTTTTTAATTACAAACTAAACTAGATTAATAGATTTCAAAAAATAAAGATTTCAAATTTCATTCCAAATCTATCAAAAAAATACTAAGAAAAATTCTAAAACTAACCTCCCAATTTCAAATCCTTTCCGTGGCAATTTAAAATTTAAATGTTGTTAAAAACATTATTCGATGATTAAAGTACAATCAACTATTTATAATTATATTTTGTTACAATATGTATCGATTAAACGACATATGATATATTTATAGGACATATCGATATATGGATGTACCCACCAAGATACTATATAATATTTAAAGTGTTCGAAAATGTATAATTTGTTTTTATTCAGATATAACTTATGAATTTTGTTTTAGTTGCATTAATTTAAACCTCCTTAATGCATTATATAATAAATTATAATTAAAAACTTGAATGCTAATTGAAAATTAAAACTCTCAATAATTACCAATCAAATATAAAGTATAAAAGTTAAAGTTAAACAGTATACTAAAAATTATACAATAATTATCATCATAAAAAAAATCATTTTTGGTTCTTGTGTTTTTTTCAGATCTGAAGTTTAGTCCCTAAATATAAAAAATTTCACTGATGCTCTCTATGCTTTCAAAACTTTTGATGTTTGGTTTTTATTGCTCATTTCGTTAAGTTTTGCCCGTTAACTGAAGGACATTTTCGTCATTTCACTACTACATGAACTATTTGTGAAGTTTTGTCGTATTTTTTAAAAAAATGAAATATAATTATTTAATATATAAAGGGTCCCACCATCTCTCTCTCTCTCTCTCTCTCTCTCTCTCTCTCTCTCCACTGGTACAATCCCCTCGTCACGCTTGAGATCTTCAAAACCTTCACAACACCCCCTCGTCACGCTTAAGATCTTCAAAACCTTCACAACACCATCTTCAACAAGCATTGCATACCTTCTTGACCTAGCCCCTAATCCAATTAGATTATTACTCGGATCCAACTTTAACCCTATTCCTTTAGAAAAATCGTCATTCCTATCACTCAATATCAACAAACATTGTAGGGTGGAATCATTAGTTTCTTAACAAATCATAGGTGGGGAAACGGAAATTGAAACATGAATGAAAGGGCAAGGTAAGGGGAAGGGGTGGATACATAGACTGAATAAACGAGTGACAATGTTGGTGACGACATTTATACCTAATCGACCACCCTTCTCCCTCAATCATAATCCATGAAATCGAACAAGCTCAGATGGAGACCAACCACCATCATAGAAAGAACCTACCACCAGCAACAACCCCTTCACTCTCCCCATCTCTCTCACGTACAACAAAACACATGCATACACACTAAAAATCAAAACACACAAACACAGAGAGACAGAGAGTGAAAAAATCGACATTATTTTGGATTCTCTGTATGCGAAACCTTCATCTTTTATGTTCATCTGATTTTAACCCATGTGTAAAGAAATCGACAAAACTCACCCCTGTTTCACTTGCTTTTTTTCACCCATAAAATAGTCGCCATAAACCTTTGATGGATCGTGATCTGAATCTTTCATCTTCCCCTTCCACCTTCGCCTTTCCACTACAACTTCTCCTTTCTATATTCTCTATTTTTTGTGTTAATTAAAGAACCTAGTGTTGGGTTTTGAGCATTCTAACACTCCTATGGTGTACATGCAACCCTATAAACCTTGGATCTATGTTTTCTCTATTATACATGCAAATATTAACTATTCTAAGGTTTCATCCTAACTAGCATATTATGAAGCACCTATACTACAAAGTTCTAGTTAGATAACATACCTTTTGATGTAGCTTGATGTCTTCAAGCTTTAAGAGCTTAGCCCCAATAGTGTGGAAGCCTCAAATGGAATCACAAATCACCAAAACACCTTGGAAGAACTTGAGAGAATATGTATGCACACTAAAATCGGCCCACTCTTATTTTCACACACTTGTGCCAATTTTGTGAGCCAAGGACCCCTTTATATATTATGGAGGATTAGGGTTACATCCATGTAAACCCTAATACCCATGACCTTTCATTTACATAGGATCCATGGGTTAAAAGCTCCATGGACCATCCATGAAAGCTTAACCCAACCTAAATGAACTTGGCCCATTCCATATATATAAGAGTCCATATTTAATTAGTTCTTTTTGATCACTTAATTAATTCTAAATTAATTCTTGATCAATACTAATTAAATAATATGATTCCATATTAATATATTAGAACTTATAATATATTAATATAAATCATAAATATACTATTCTCAAAAGACTATCCATATAAATTGTGCCGGTGAAGTGCAACCCAAATGGACCATGCCGGGTCGGGTCAAGTACATACCAAATATAGTTATGGACTTAGACATTAATCCAACACCTAGATCTGCCAATTTCTTTAAGAATGTTGGCTTTTAACTCTTCCACAGTCAACAAATATGTAGGGAATCTAACTGCTTTGATGCTTCTTAGTTGTTGTATGTGTTTGGGGACGAGAATAATGGACATGGTGGTAGAGATATTGATGTCGGTGTTAAGGAGACGAGTGGTGGGTATATGCTGATGAGGATGTGTGATAGTAGAGGAGGAAGACGAAGGTTGTTCGATTGAGAAGTGGTTATGAAACCGTTGGTGCTATTAGGTTTAGGAGAGAGAGAGAGAGAGAGAGAGAGAGAGAGAGAGGGACCATTTATATATTAAATAATTGTATTTATTTATTTATTTTAAATAACAAAAAACATCATAAATAGTCCATGTGGTAGTAAAATGACGAAAATGTCCTTCAGTCAACGAACAAAACTTAACAGAGTGAGCAATAAGGACCAAACATTAAAAGTTTTGAAAGCATAGAGACCATCTGTGAAATTTTTGATATTTAGGGACTAAACTTCAGATCTGGAAAAAAAACACAGGGACCAAAAATGATGTTTTAAAAAAAACATGAACCAACACACAAAAAAGTTGATCAATAATTTCTTTGAAAGAAAATCACAATAAATAATCTTGAAATAGATATATATTTTTATTTTTTAATTCAAAAAGCTTTTACTTTTGATCCAAAATGACATTATATTATGATTTTTGTCCGAAAACAACATACAACTTTTAACCAAAAATAACAATTTATTTTCTATTTAAACCCAAAACTACAATACAATCTTTTTAACTAAAAAAATAACATAACGTGTACACTATACACCGGTGTATATATATATATATATATATATATATATATATATATATATATATATATATATATATATATATATGGAACAAAGAGAAACAATTGGAGGAACTAACATTAGCCTTTGAACTTTTTAGAACTTTTGATCAATGATAAAAAACAATTAGGTGAATTATGGCAAATGTAAAACCACAACATCAAAACCCTAACATTATATCTAAAATAATATCTAGATCTTGTTTCACTTAAACATTCTCACCAACCTCCAAGAACTCAAACTGAAACCCTAACACCATCGTCCCAACCTACTGCGGCCGCTACCACCGCTAAAGTTGGCCCCAATATTGTTTCTTTCCTCTACCATCACTTTCCTAACTATCATTTTCGTCCATTAACATTTCCCTACCATCGCCTCCTCCTTCTTATATAGTGTCATTTCTTTCATCCATTACCACAACCTTACCACCTCCTCCTCCTCCCTCCTCTATGGTGACCT